GAGACCTGCTGAGGACCACAACAGCATGCATGCATTCACAAATACACAAGTGGTGGCTGTGTTTGAGGTGCTTGCCTGGGAGTTGAACCCAGGTCTCCAACATGGAAGGTGGTATTTCTGCAGCAATTACTCCTTCTTTCATGTCTAGGAGAAAACAAACAAAAACACATATGCTTTAAGTCACATAGACCTAGGTTCTAAGCACATCCCAGCAAATAGTTTAAGTGCTATAAACTTCTACTTACTTACTTATAAAAAGAGATAGTTGTAAAGATTAAATAAGTATAACATATGTGAAATATAAATAACTGCATAACAACAAAATAAAAAATAATTAGCCCTCCAAAAAGAACTTCTAAGATCTGAGCTAGGATTGCTCTCATCTGAGCAGCTATATGTCAGAACAAGCTATCTAATATTCCTCAGCTATTATTTTCTTTCATGCAAAATTAGAAAATAATAATAATAAATATAATAATACCTCTTTTTTGTTTGTCATACCCTGGATGAGATGGGTTGATACAGTAATTGGGGCAACAGTGGTAGGTGTGTCAGAGTCAGTGAGACTGGCTCAAGATAGTGCTGCTGTACATAGAGTCACTATGGGTCAAAGGCAACTCAATGGCACATAACGACAAGAAAAAACAGTAATGACTGTTGTGGTTTATGTTGTCATGATGTTGAAAGTTATGCCACATTGATTTAGAATAACAGGGTCACCAATGGTGGACAGCTTTTAGGAGAAATTAGAAGGAGAATAAGATAGTTTAAGGAATAAAGAGTATTGAATATACCATGGACATCTAAAAAAGAGCACACATACCTGTCCTGGAGAAAGTACATCCAGAGGGAACCAGTCCTTGGAAAAAGCATCACACCTGGAAAGATAGAGAATTTGTAAAGGAAAAGAAGACCCTCAAACAGATGGATTGACATACAACTGCAACAATGGACTTGACCATGGTGGAGATCGTGACGATGGCACAGGAGAGGGCAGACAGTGTGGGTGACAGTCACCTCACTGGCACCGACCATCAACAAGGAAAAAACACCTTATGATCTACTTCTGAAAACTTACTAATGGCAATTCTGTGAATGAAAACAGAGTATATGCTTATATAGTGCTAAAAGTTGAGTCCCCAAGGTTGGAAGGTACTGAAAATACATAGAGACCACATCAATAGGTGTGAGTATGCTAATGATTGTGGAGTCGTCACAGGTTCAGACCATGTCCTGTCTACTTGTCCATGGAATCTCCAAGAGCCAGAACTGTCCTAAGAGTAGCTAACATTCTACAGGGTTATTTTTTTATGAGTAACTTAAAAATACACATATAAGCAATGAGAGCAGTGTTAACCACATAATAACTGACTGATGTATAACCAGTGTAATACTATCAAGCCTTTGATAACCTCAGCCATAGCCAGAAATGATGGAAATCCAGAGAAAATCTTAATAACAGCAGTTATCAACTTGAGTGCCTATTGTTTATGGTCTTTTCAGTCACTTCAGTCTCAGTATGCCTCTGAGAGCCAGACAATGTCGAAGGATGACAAGGAGAATTGATGTCTTTGAACTGTGGTGCTGGAGAAGAGTACTGACTATCCCACCGACTTCCGAAAGAACAAACAGATATGTCTTAGAGAAGGCAAAGCCAGTGTGCTCCTTGGAGGAAAATGTTGTCAGCCAAGGGAAAAGACAAAGACGGGGACACGCAGAAATGGAGGACAGCCCAGAAAGCGGGAAGTCAGGGGGCTAACAGCTGGAAGAAACGAAGTCCCTGGCATAGATGGTGGCACTTCATTTCACATACTTCTGGCATGTTGCTAGAAGAGGCTATTCCTTGAAGAGGGACACCATGCTTGGAAAGGTGGAGGGATGGTAAAAGAGAGAAAGACCCTCAACCGGATGGACTAACATGGTGATTTCAGCGATGGATGATTGCAGCAAAGTGTGTCAGAGATTGTGAGGTGGGCACAAGACAGGACATGGTTCAAGCTGGTTGTTTATAGAGTTACTGTGAGTCAGACTCGACTCTACAGCACCTAATAACAATAACAAAATCACTATCTATTAGTTACTATGCTAAGGAGTTTTAATATATTTCAATGTAATCTTCACAGGTACACAGTGAGCAGAGTTCTTACTCCGACTTTATGGATGAATAACCTGAGATATAGAGAAATTATGTCATTTATCTGGAACTGTTTTATTTTATTATTTTTTTTTTTTTAGTCTGTTGAGTCAGAATCGACTCAGAGCTGAGCCTCTGCAGGTTTTCAGAGGCAGTTAATCACATGAGAGATAATTACTCTTCTTTCTCCTGGAACAGCTGGTGGGTTTAAATCCTTTGGGTTGGCAGTACAAAGAGGTGACACGATTGAGATTGCAAACAGCAGACTGCTTTTTAAGTTATTTCTACTGCTTCATACACTGCTACAAAAGCAGACATGTAACTCTCTCACAAGAGGCACTAAGTTAGCACCAAGATGTAAGATAACAGATAATTTCAGAATAATTACATAAGACAGGGGAGCAAGTTTCTTGGCTTCACACACATGAAATGCAGGGCTACGTGTGAAGAGGACAAAAGAAAAGCCACAGATTTCATCAAAGTTGGACTCTATGTTATAATACTGGGTTAAATATAAACAGCATTTCAGACATTAAGAACAATACTTACAAGAGAACAGACTTCTTGAACCAAACTTCCACGGTACAACCTCCATCTTTGGTACTCAACAAAAAAATAAAGCTTTAAGTGAGTCATTTGGCCTCTCTGTGCCCTTTTCTGTAAAGTGGGAATAGAACCCTAATCCCTCATTCCAAGGGAGCTACCACTAAGGTGGCTTAGTGGTAGGGAGTTGGACTGTCAACCCAAAGGCACACAGTTCAAATCCATCAACTGTTCCATGACACAAAGATAGGTCGGTTTCCAACTCAATGGTATATAACAACAACATTCATGACAAAGATCTGGATAAATCATTTGCCTCACTTCAAAGAAATTTCTATTTAAGTGGTCTGGAATAAATATTAGGTATAGGTTTTTTTTAAATTTTTTTTTTCTTAGCAATTTTATTTTCTTTGGTGAAACTTTTCAAAACATGGGGTAATACATAAAGGCACCTGGCAATGGCTGCACAGAATTGTTGTTCTAGTCTCCTTTTTCTTAGCGCTGCATTCTCAGCATCACCTTCTAGATCCCTCGTCAGGCAAATGCCTTCCAACCTGTTGGACCGTGCATCATCTGGCACACCACTTACTCCTGGCTTGTCCTCACCAGGAAGGAAGGTCTGCCTCTTTTCTTTCTTTTCTGGCCCACAGTAAGCTGCCTAATGAGAGCAAACCTGAAGGATAGTTGGCCACATTTGCCCCCCTGGTTACAGTTCCACATTGTAAAACTGTTTACAATACCAAGGTCAATAAGAAAATATAGTAATCGATGCCACCATTTGAGAGAGCTCCTCCCAATTGCATATCTCTCACGTCTCTGGTCAAAGTAGTCCACTCCTCCCATGACTGTGTTGTATTCTGCAACTGCTCTTAGACAAGGGGTTACTGTGGTAGAACCATCTTTGTTCTTCCATTTGACAATAGTGATAGCCTGTGGATTATGAAACGTTGACAAAACTGTCACAGGCTTACTGTCCTGCCACTTTACTGCTGACACACATCCTTTTGTATGAAACTGTAATCCCCCACGCTGTAAATTATCCTTCCTCCTCAGCATGTCTGGTAGCCCCTTTCTAGTTGCTCCTACTGTGCCAGCTGCATACAGTCCCCTTTCATTCGTGCTTTTCATTAAGTGATAGGACGTAAAATAATTGTTGAAGGCGATGAGCCTACGGGAATGGTACTACGAATCACACAGTCTAAGTACAACATTTTCACCAGGTGAGAAAGATGAGCTATTGTCCACACCTTTTCCCCCCCCAATAAATATTAAACTGACTCTCAAAGCCAATTTGTGAATCAGCAAAGCACCAAACTTTGTACCCTCACTTGACAGGCTTTATAGGCATGTACTGTTTTACTGATGAACAGCCCTTGAATGGTACCATGCTTTTATCAATTGCCATGATACTTGACGGTATATATACTTCCTTTAGGCGATTACTGAGAGCATTGATGACTGGACGCAATTTGTGAAGTGGGTCATAGCCAGGTTCTCCTTTGGGTGCAGCTTTTGAATTGTCGTTGCAGGGGATGTTCTCAGTCAGTGTCTTGAATCTAGTTTTACTCATCAGGTCTGGAACTGAAATAATACTCAAGAGGGGGTCGCTAGACCAGTAATGCCGCAACTCTGGCAAGACATGTATACCCATCAGTATGTGCACAGCAATGAATGCCTTTATTTCCTCAACAGCGGTAGGCTGCCAGTTTTTGGTTGATCTTTTAATCTCTTGCCCTCTGTATCATCTGGTTTGCTCCTGGGTCGCATAAAGATTTGTCTGATCCTTAATTGTTTCCAAAATTTCTTCCGTAAATACAAACAAAAAATAATCTACCTGTGTGTCTGTATCAGTCAAGTCTGGGTAAACTTTGGCAGGTTGCTGAAGCGAGGTTGCTAGATTGTCAAAGTAAGACGCATCCTCGCACCATTCCTCTCCATTTCCTTCCTTATCACCATGAGCATCATCATCGGTTTCAACCCTTTCTTCTGTGACACCGACGGCTTCCTCATTTTCTACTACCGTATCGGTGTTGCTCCTTCCTTCAGAATGCGCTGTGGATCCCACAAGACAGGTAAGCTCCTGTGAGGTATCCTCGTCACACTCCTCCTCGGAGTCCTCCTCATTGTCAGGTAGAGAGAAAAGATAATCTAGAATTTCTTCATCCTTCTTAAAACAGGCCATCTCACAGTCTAGTAGGACCTGGGCTTGTGAAGATCCATAACGGTCTTTGGTCTCTAATGGCTGAAACTGGACATTAAGTGTTGGTCCTAGAGATGCCACCTTTCTTCTGACTATTTCTTGTCCAGGTCTAGGGGCTGACACCTAGAGTAATGTTTCATCAGTGCTTCTCTCCAAATCTTCTCGTATTGTCACCACCTCCTCTCCACTCTCTGGGTAATGTTCACATGCCCAGGCTTGGAACTCCTGAGGCCGGTTGGTCAGGAACTGCTCCAGCACCAGAAGCTCTAGGATCTGCTCCTTGGTGTGTGTCTCTGGCTGCAACCATTGTTGGCAGAGCTCTCTAAGCCGGCTTAGCGCCTCTCGGGGGCCTGGAGAATCCTGGTAGCAGAACTGCCTAAAAAGCTGGTGGGAGAGCTCCTGCCTGAGGGGATCACTTCTCTGTATGGAAGTGTCCTGTCTCCAAGTAAAATCTTCCTCTTCTACCTTCATTATCAGAAGACCATCATCTTCCTCTGGGGTCTAAAGGTTCTGAGTCACAGCTTTCCTTGTTCTTGCTTCCATGTCAGTTTAAAATGTATTATGGGAAAGTTCAATTCTGCTCTGAAAAGTGTCTTCTTCAGTTTTAGAAGCTCTCCGTGAAAATCACTTGGTTAGACATTGTCCTGCAGTGGTTTCCAAGAAAGTCTGAGCTCAGGGCTGGACTTGCTGCCTATTCAGCATGTGAAAATTTCATTACAAAGAGATTTCAGGTCGTTGCCCCAGGAAATGTGGATTCAATCAGTATAGGGTATACCTAAAAATTCTGTATTCTGATGCACAACTCTGACTCCACCTTTCCCCAAGACTCTTCTGTGATCTGGATCCCAGTTTCAAGGGTAGTGCCCTCCCTGAAGGAACATGGGAGGGACTGCCTGTTTGGAGAAGACACAGTTCCCATACCTCCTTCTCCAAATCCAGATTTACCTCTTGTAGGTATAGGTATTTTTAAAAAATTCTTTTATAGATTCTAGAGTGGTGCAGTTAATATATTTAGCTGCTAACTGAACAGTTGCCATTTTGAGCCCATTCAGAAATCTTTCAAAAGAAAGATTTCTTAAAAACAAAAAAAGTCTGATGACCTTTGCTGATTTTTTTCAGTGCTGTAGAAGTGACTAGAACTCAGAGACCCTAAGAGCGACAAATCTGAACCTTGCGTATCCTGTGCCACACTTACTGTCTCTGTTCTACTCTAGCCCATGGGAATAGTGACTGTGTTAATCGATCTTGTTAAAGGTCTTCCTCTCCTTTGCTAACCCTCTACCTGTCAGTTTCCAAGGGCTAGCTCATCCTCACAACACGCCAAAATATATGAGACAAAACTTCACCACGCTTGATCCCACGGAGCACTTTCTCTAAGACATATCTGTTTGTTCTTTTGGCATTCCATGGGATATTGAGTACTTTTCTCCAACATCACAACTCAAAGAAATCACTTCTTCTGTCAACCTTAGTCATTTTCCAACTCTCAGTTGCATAACAAATACTTGGAAAGACCATGGCTTCAATGTGATGCACTTTAGCCCATAAAGGGACACAGTTGTCCTTTAACACCTTGGAGAGGCTTTTGATGGCAGATTTACACAATACAACATGACTTTACATTTCTTGACTGTTGATGTTGATTGTGGATCCAAGCAAGATGAAGTCATTGACAACCTCAATCTTCTCTCCGTTTATCATGATGTTGTCTACTGGCCCAGCGGTGAGTAATTTTGTTTTCTTGATGTTAAGATAGCATATTGAAGGCTGTAGTCTTTGATCTTCTGGAGCAAGCATTTCAATTTCTCTATGCTTTGAGCAAGCAAGGTTATATCATCTGTACAACTCAGGTTGTTAAGGAGTGTTCTATGATCCAGAAGGTTCTTCTTAATGAAGTTCAGCCTCTTTAATGTAGAGATTTGTTCAGAATGGAGATTGAGTAAGTATGGAGAAAGGATACAGCCCTGCAGCATGCCTTTCTGGATTTAAAACCATGCAGTGTTTCAATGCTGTCTTTGGATGACAGTTTCTTTATCTAAGCATAGGTTTTGTATGAGCATAGTTAAGTGTTCTGGGAAATCTGATGATTTGTTGTTGTTGTTGTTATGTGCCGTCGAGTCGCTTGCAACTCATAGCGACCCTATGTACAACAGCCCTAAACTCTGCTCTGTCCTGTGCCAATCGCACCGTCTCTGATACACTCATCCCGATTACCCCAGTCACTGAATCAATCCACCTCATAGAAAGCCTTACCCTCCTGTGCTGTCCCTCCATCCTACCAAGCATGATGTTCCTCTCCAAGGACTGGTCCCTCCTTACAGTAACATGTCCAAAGTATGTTAGACAGAGCCTCAGAATCCTTGCCTCCAAGGAGCCACCCAATTTCACCCTTTCCAGGATGAATCTGTTTGTTTTCCCAGGAATAGATGGTATACCAATTGACATATTTCAGCTAACAGATGCTGCCCTGGATGTGCTCACCAAGTTGTGCCAAGAAATCTGGAGAACAACCACTTGGCCAACTGACTGGAAGAGATCTATATTTGTTACTATCCCAAAGAAGGGTAACTCAGCAGAGTGTGGAAACAATAGAACAATATCATTAATTTCACCTGCAAGCAAGATTCTATGGAAAATTATCCAAAAACAACTGGAACAGCACATCAGCAAAAAACTGCCAAAAGTCCAGGCTGGGTTTAGAAGGGGTCGTGGTACTAGGGATATTGTAGCTGATGTTAGATAGATCTTAGTTGAAAGCAGGGAATACCAGAGGAATGTATATCTATATCTGATGATGTACTGATGCGAAAACTCAGTGAAATGCTATAGCATACAGTTCTCCTTTGATGGGTGAAATGGTCACAAATCAGAATTGACTCAACGATGACTGATCATGGTGGTTCTAATGTGCAGTTAAGTTTGAAACCATTGGTTGAGAGACTCTGAATTATAGATAAGATCATCCTAGTGCTATTGTTATGACCCATAGCCTAGTTCATTGTCCTTTGTACAGTAAACACTCCATAAAAATGTGGCAATAGAACTTAACACATTATTTTCCTTTGATTTAGCACTAAGATTTAATACTCTGTGTAATTTTCATGCCACTGTGTATGTTGCTGCTTCTTGGATATTTTTGCTATCATTGTGAGCTGTCATTGAGCTGGTTTCTGCTTCAAAGAGACCCTATGCACCACTGACCCATTCTGCACCTTCTCACAATCATTGTCATGGTTGATTCCTTTGTTGCAGTCACTGTGTCACTACAGCTTCTTGAAGATCTTCCTCTGTTTGGCTGTCCCTTTACTTTAACAAACATGGTATTCTTCCCCAAGGACTGGTCCTTCCTCATAACAGGTCCAAAATATACGATGAAGTCTCATTATTCTCTCTTCTAAGGAATATTCTGTCTGCGTATCTTCTAAAATAGATTCACAGGTTAATTTTCTTAAATTGGGATTTTAATGAAAGTTTATAGAGAACTTGGATTTCCACTCATTCATTTTTGCACGTTTTCCTCCCTGCCCACTCCCCAGTTTGCTTTTCTCTTTGGAAAAAAACCACACAAAAACCCAAACCTTTCATTGTTGTACAACTCCTCACCCCCACCGCAGTCCATTTTACTATGCAGCTCTCATTCTGGACCGTTGTCATGCAAATAATACCTAATCATATATTCCTTTTAAGCAGTCTTTCCTTCATCTGTTTCAGTGTAGTGTACATTATGTATCCTCTCTTCTCTTATTTTCTCCCCAAGCCTGATGTCAGTCCTGTTTTATAACAGTGGCATTATGCAGTATTTGTCTTTTTGTGACTGAGCTATTTCACTCAGCATAATGTCTTCCATGGTCACCTATTTTTTT